GTTGTCTCACAGCAACAAGGTCCTGGGTTCTATTCCACCAGTTGGAGCCTTTCTGTTTGCACGCTCTCCTTGTGTCTGCATGGGTTTTGTCCAAGTACTCTGGCTTCCTCCCACAGCCTAAAGCTGGTGGGGTCTAGTTAATCGGTCATTCTAAATTGGCCATGGATGTGTCTCTCTGTGATAACCCTGCAAAAAAACTCTCACCCCTTGGCAGTTGAGGTAGGATCCAGCTCTCTTTGACCCGAAATTGTACAAGTGGAAGAAAATGTATGTATTATTATTTTATGGTATCTGTTATGCAGGTTAAACTTTAAAACTATTGTTGTGGCATAATTAAAATGTATAGCGCACTGAAACACAACAAAACTATTCAGTATTGTCACTAATGTTTAGCGTGAAGCTGTTTTGTCTGTAGTGAGATTTAACATGGATGGTGTATTATTTCTTTCTTGTCATGATTTCCGAGGTTTAAAGATGTACTTGATTTATTTATCCCTTATATGTTGATTGTTGTATCAAGGGTAGATGTTTATATAAGCTTTAGCTTCAACCTCCACCTTTTTGGTTTGTTATTTAAATGAACCAATTAAAGATAACTGAATGATATGGAAATCAGAAGCCTGCTTTCTCTAATAATTTAAATGTCTTAATGCTGCCTTCAGTGGAACTTGGTCTCTACTGTATCTAGGCTACTGAAGGAAATTGGAAAGCTAGACAGGTTGAGCAAATGGTCAGTGAAATCATTAATCACTTTGCTTTACCGCTGTCTTCTTCTCTTTTGTTTTGACCATTATATACTTTCAGACCATGATGTTTATTCATGTCTGAGTCTTGATCTCCTTGTCTTTTTTTAATGCAACCACATCTCTGAATAAAAAGCAGAACACAGAGCACAAGAGATACGAAGGTCAGTCTTGCTCATTTCCTGAAAACACTTAAAAGCTCAGAATGTTAAATAGTGAATCTGCATTAATTTGGGAAAATTTTAAGAAAATCTCTGAGTCACATTGTCTAAACATTTATAGACAGATTATGACTGAAGGGGTTTGGGATCAGTTCGAGGGAAGGTTTTGGATGAGATTTAGCTTTCC